ATATATTGACTATTATCATCATTTTATTACAAAATCAATTGTGTAAAAAAGGCCCACCTGATGCGATTTTAGGAATTACAGAGGCTTATAAAAAAGATACCAATCCCCAAAAAATGAATTTGGGAGTTGGTGCCTATAGAGATGATGATGGGAAGCCATATGTTTTGAATTCTGTCAGAAAGGTTTAATTAAATTAAAATATTTAATCTCCATTGATGAATTATTATGTCAAAAAAATTTTTATTTATTTATTATTTGTTATTTAAAGGCAGAGAAAAAAATACTTGAAGATCGACTTGATAAGGAATATCTTCCAATTACTGGTCTTTCTAGCTTTACTCAAGGTGCAGCTCTTTTGGCTTATAGTAAAGATTCCAAACCTTTAAAAGATGGATTAGTAAGTAAGCTGATGAATTTTTGCTCATTGGGATTTTTTTTAAAAATATAATTAACTTGAAACGCATTTCCTTTATAGATTTCAATCACTCAATCGATTTCAGGAACAGGAGCTCTTAGAATTGGAGGAGTGTTTTTATCTAGATATTATCCACATGCTAAAAAAATCTATTTACCTAAACCAACATGGGGCAATCATAATGCTGTTTTTAAAGATTCTGGTTTAGAAATAGATTCATACAGATATTATGATAAATCAACCAATGGATTGGATTTTAATGGATTGCTAGAGGATGTTCAGGTATTAATTAATTGATTAATTAATCAAATAATAATAATGTGCTTCTTTATTGTTTTTTGTTGATTATTTAATTATTACTATTAATAATAATAACATGTATGATTAGAATGCACCAAAAAACTCAATCTTTTTGTTACATGCCTGTGCACATAATCCAACAGGAGTAGATCCAACCCAACAACAATGGTAAAATTATAAAATTGCCTAAACTATATGGAACATGCTGCAACAAAATCAGACAAAGTGAACATTGGTGTTACCAAAGATTTCAGGTGTTTGTTTAATAATAATTTCCGCGAATATGTATTATTATGCTTTATTTTCAAAACTATCATTAATATTAAACAAAGGCCCTAAATAAATCCATAAAAAAATTAAAAAAAATAAAAATATAAATAAGGGAAAATAATTATACACGGGATTAGTATGAAGACTAGCGCTTTTATTATTTCATTGTTAAAGATAGGTTTATTATTATTATAAACTTGTATCATAAATTGTGTCAGGATTGATGGAAATCTTTTATTAATAAGCAGAATGCCTTTGATATTCTGTGCAAGAGAATAACAAATAGTAATGGTGACAGTACAGTTGTTGCATTTGGTGATGGTAAATTCTCATCAACATCATGTGGGCA